AAATACCACTTCCACGGCCGAGAATTGAACTCGGGTCTCCTGCGTGACAGGCAGGAATACTAACCTCTATACTACCGCGGAATTGAAGGTGGTTCAATGTCTAAATAGTGACGCAAATTACCATTTTCAGCTACCAGCGCACATCGCGGCGGGCGTGAGTGGAGAGGGAAAGTTGAGTAATTTTTTCGAGGCAGCAAATGATTCGCAGAGTGGTGCAAAAATCAGAAAAGAAACGGTCGCGCATAAATGTGTGAAACGCCCTTGTACAGAAATACCACTTACACGGCCGAGAATTGAACTCGGGTCTCGTCCGTGACAGGCAGGAATACTAACCTCTATACTACCGCGGAATTGAAGGTGGTTCAATGTCTAAATAGTGACGCAAATTACCATTTTCAGCTACCAGCGCACATCGCGGCGGGCGTGAGTGGAGAGAGAAAGTTGAGTGATTTTTTCGAGGCAGCAAATGATTCGCAGAGTGGTGCAAAAATCAGAAAAGAAACGGTCGCGCATAAATGTGTGAAACGCCCTTGTCCAGAAATACCACTTCCACGGCCGAGAATTGAACTCGGGTCTCCTGCGTGACAGTGTAGAGGGATGATTGCATCCTAAAACGAAGTATTGTGTTTGTTTCTGTGCCAGTTGTCTCCTTGGCTATTGCTCCGTGTCGCAGTGCATATCTTAGCCTAGCGCCAAGTGAGCCTACTATTGATTATATTGATAGATAAGTTCTTCCTATAAGTCCTCTAGTTGTGGCGTTCCCTCAATGGGAGATAAGGAAGGTGCACCGACCCTCAACATGGCGCTCCACGATGGGTCTGCTGTGCCTACTCCCTTAGTCGCCCGTTGTGAGGAACTGCGTACTAAGAGGGGTGGACTTCGCCGACAGAGAGGTCGGTTACGGTCTCAGTTGCAGGCTATCAAAGAGGACATCCAGGTGATCTTAGCTGTTCCTGACAACGCTGAAGACCCTACGGTACTTGAGTTAGAACGACGAGAGAAGGTTCACGAAGAAGAGCTGTTGGTGATTGAAGGAGAATTGGCTAAGGTGGAGGCCGACCTTGCGGAATGTCTATCGGTTCGGTCTCGAGAGGGGTCTATTAGAGGTCTTGATACTGAGGTTGTTGGTGGAGCTGCTGTCCCGACGTTGACTGCCGGGGCATTAGCAGGATTACCATCCGGTGTTGAAAAAACTCGGGATGGTCGAG